GAAACTCTATCTAAATAGCTCCCAAGCCAAAGAGTACTCGCAACCTCTATCTGGAAAAAAGTTTTACCTGTACTTTTGTCATATTATTGTAATTTTCTTGACTGACTTTTTCTTATCTAAAGGAGATTGTCCTTGTCAGTAAAATTAAGTCCTAACTTGTTACCCTATGTTGATGGCAAGAAGCATAATTACATATCATTTTTCAGAGCGCCAAAAAAGTTTTTAACCTTATAGATTTAAGTTTTCTAAGCTTTAATCACGAATCACGCTTCCTGATTTTTAAGTATGCCATTATCTTTGACCATATATTTAATATTCTGATCATACAGAAGCTCCAAACATATCTCACTAGCTGGAAGCCGAATTTAACCCCCAGGATGACAAAATAAGAACAGTGCTAATTTGAAATACAATGGGTGCTTACAGTTTACTGCAGATCATGATAACTTTGCATCTCAATAAAAAACTAAGAAGTTGCAAAATACGAAAGTACACAAGAAGTCTTTTAAATGCTTATTAACCATCAAAATTTGATGCAGAACCCTTCATAAACCGATGACCTATCACGGGGATAATTTTTTTGTAGAAACCACACATACTTGAAAGGTGTTGTACCCACCAACCTTGGTTTTCATCTTCTACATTGATGTACTTTTCAAACAAGCATCCACGACGCTTAAAGGAAAGTTGATGCAACTTAGTCGTGTTACGGATTCCAAAAATTTGTCTTAAACTAGATAGTTATTGCCCAGATTTAAAACATATATAAAGGTTTATTATGTAGTAATGAATACATCAATCATATACTTTACCGGCGCCCTAAGACTTGTTTCAAGTATGTCTGCACTGCAGAACTAGAAGAACCAAAATGTGTAGAAAACCGGCGCGCCCTAACGACACTAAAAACGAAAAAAGGAAACTGAAAAGGAGGAATCTTGGAGGGTGTATGTATGTACCTTATCCATGTTGGGCACCAGCTCTTGTAGCTTCCTTATGCGGTCACTGATCCTAGTCCTCCGGACCTATAATATTACGAATTAAGCCACAAAATTAAGTTTGAAATCTTTACTAATTAATATAAATAAATTCCTACAACTTTCCAAATTCTGGAGAAATATATACAATTAGTGTGTAGTTAACGAGTGATTAAGTTACGTTAATGGAAATAATTACAAACCCTTTCAGCAATGCTCCTGGGATGTGTAGCACAACCACGCTTGGCCCTCACCCTGCAACTCACCGAATCCTCCAACCCACCTTCCTCCACTTTCTGCCATTTCACAAATTAACCCAGATTACCAAATTTTAATTTTGATTAATTAATGAATTAAACCAGATTAACAAATTAATAAGCAAACAATATATTAAATAAAAAATAAAAAACTGACCACATGTGAGTCGGAGGAAAACTGGTGCTGCTCCCGAACCCTCTTATTAGCAGAGGAAGAAGAGCTGTTTGGGGACAACGACGACGACGACGCAAGGTCGAGGTGGCCCGGAATTCCAAACCCCGAGAAATATCCCCCCGACCCCACCGCCGCCATTAAAATCAGCGGGTGAGCTATGCTGACGACTAAGATACCCATCTGCAGCCTCATACAACGCTGGATCCACCGTCGTACAAGGTGTGTTGTCAGCAAGAAGCTCAGTCAAGCACTGGGTGGGCTTCAGTGGGTCCTCTTCGTCCTCTTCAAGCAGCGCTTCTAACCATGCGGCTGGGGCGGAGCTGAACCGCCCGAGTCCGCCTACTCCTCGACTCACTTCGCCGCCACTGCTTCCGCCGGCTGCCCGTTGCATCTGCTTTGGACTCACACTCACACTCAACTCAAACTCAGCTCTTTGCTTTGCTTAACTGCTATTAAAATAATACCAAAAGTGAATTATTTTCTATTTTTGTTTCTGTCCGTTCTTCCTTTTCTCTCTGAGCTTTTGATAGTTTTCAATATTTGGAGAATGAAAAAAAGGAAAAAGGAAAAAGATGGAGACAGTCATGAGGGTCTGTCTTCAACGTTGCATCAAATCAAGAAAAGGAAACAGTTGAGAACAACGTATACGACACGAACATATTATTGTGTTTCGTGTTAATAAAATAAATATGTTTTAATAACATACTACATCACGTGTGGTAAATTTTAATTTTTTTATACTATCAGAACTAGATTGTTTAAAGTGTGAAGCTTAACGCTTACACATGTTTCATGTCAATCCATTTATATTGTTCGTGTGTTAAATTTGAAAGCTCATCACATGTAAAAGAACGTGTTAAAAATAAATCAACGCATTGATAGTTTCAATATTTGGAGAATGTAAAAAAGGAAAGAGGAAAAAGATGGAGACAGCACTTGAGGGAGTGAGCGACTCAGACCAGTCACTAACTTATTGCTTTATTACTTTTGTTTTCTTCTCACTTCAACGTTGCACCACATCAAGAAAATGAAACCGTTGAGAACAATTTAAGATTTATACGACATGAGCACATTGTTATGTTTTGTGCTAATAAAATAAAGATATTTTAATAACATAGTACATAATGTGTGATAGATTAACAACTTTTTAATAGTATCAGAACCAGGATATCTCAAGTGTGAAGCCTAAGGCTCACACTTGCTCCACGACAATCCGTTTGTGTTGTCCACATGTTAGGCTTGAAAGTTTATCATACGTGAGGGAGCATGTTGCGAATAAATCCCCGCATTGATGAGAAGATGAATTTTACATGCGCTTATAAATAAGTTATGCTACTTATACTATCAATTGATTTATGGTGGAATCTTAATTTGCCTTAGACAGAAAAATAACATGGTTAAATTGAGTACATAATATTGCAATATCCATTAAACATGTGATATGATTAAATTAAGTACGTAATAATTATAATTTTCCCTTAAACTAAAAGATATGCGTCAAACTACGATCTAAAGCGCTCTGAAAATGACATGATAACATCCAAAATGAAATATGTGTTTTGCAAACTCTTATAGCTCCTTGATTTTGTATAATTGGTAAATCAACGGTGAGTGAGTAACAATGACGTGCAGGTTACTTGTAGGGTCGGTAACATATGTATGTAAGGCTGGACTGCTCCAACGTCAGCGTTTTTATGGTCTAATAAGTTTAATAACGGTGTCTTCAATGTCACAGAGAGTGTCAAGCCCCACACGAGACATGGCGCGTGGATGAACGTGTGGATTAAAATGGATGCAATGGTTGACATTGATGCGTGGAGGTGGATTATGGTAGGCAGGTAGATATTTAATCTGTGGAATTTGTGTTATATGCTTTTTGTGGAAAATTTAAGGAGAGGAGACAGCTAGGGTTCCCGTTCCACAAATGCTCACCACAATCGGAAAGTGGTTATGCTTTTACTTGCTTTCTTCTGTTCTGCTCTGCCAAGGGGTTTGTGCCCTGATAATTTGGGCTTGGCAATGTCTTTGGGAAGGGTATGTATGTGATTTTACAAAAGTGGGACTCCTTGTTGGGCTGAAATGTCTTTGGGAAGGGTATGTATGTGATTTTACAAAAATGGGACCCCTTGTTTGGGTTGAAAACATGGGTCTGTTCAAGGCCCAACCCACTGAATTTTGTTTGAAGACTGATGGGTATTTAGTTTGAAGGCAAATGGAAGTACGAAGCCCGACAAATTCAAAAGTGCTTTATGACGTGGCAATTATGGGCTGCAAAAAACCCTCTTCCACACGGAAGGAAGACCGGTCAGTCGAGTTTATATAAGAAAAGTATTTTACAATGGCAATTATGTAGTTTCAATCAGAGGAAATGAACTGACAGGGAAATGTTTATTCTAGAAGAAAGATGTGGTTCTATAGAAGGCAACATAAGGGAAGAAGATAGATCAAGGACACTCAAGCTCAACTCAACACAAAAAAATTTGAAAGCTTTGCAGTCTACTTTTCATACATTCTTCTTTGTAGTTCAAATACTCTTACGTTTATAGCTCTACTACTTTTCTTGTAGTATTAATTTCTTGTATTGAAATTTTTTTCCCAAAACATATCTTGTACTTATAAGAACTCGCGCCAACTGACAATTGATCTTGCCCGAATAAGTTTAAACTTGGCTCAGATATTTGTATTTATCATTTACTTTCAAGTTATTATTTTGTGCAAGTTATTGTTCTTTCGATTAACATTTGACAAGCTTTTACATTGCCCTTACGTTCAGTTTTTCACTTTTCTATCTGTTTGTCTTGCTTTCTATCATTCTCTTTACATAAAAATTGCAAACCGACATAGAGTTCTAATCAGTTTTTGGTTCTTGGCATTAACATAAAGAAAATATAAAGTCTTTGTCAGTAAGGCATAAAAAAGAACTTAACATATATTTAACCCCTTTATGGCACAGTCCTTTCGATCACAAAGTTGAATTGCTTGTGACGCAAGCAAGCAACCTAAAACAAACTCATTTAAGATAGCTTGAAGACGTACTCGAAGCTTGTCAAAAGCAACCTTAAATTGACACAGAGTTTACCACAAAAGCAGAAGGAATTATGGCACCAACAATTATATCATTAATATTTGATCGTTATTTCGTTAATCTTTATTCACTATGTTATCGATATTTTATTGATATATTGTTGACATTTAATCTTCATTGAATGTGTATTTGAATATAAACTAAGATCTGGAAATACACGTTTTTTATACATATCTTTTACACCCATTTTAAAAAGTACACATTATTACAACGATTCCAACCATCTATATTTTGATATGACATTCATAAATCGTTCTTTATGTTCTTGACGAATGCGAGTTTTTGAAAATTTTCAATCAGTCTGGTTACAAAAGTTACTTCCTACAACGTCCTCTCTGTCATGCCAGTGTTACTTTTTTACTTGAACAATTTGAGGGTTTAAATGTAACAAAAAGTCATACAGGGGGTTGATAGTAATTTCATACAAAAACAAAAAGAAAAAGAAGTAAACCCGCACTCTGTGCCTTTATTATTCGAGTGTTGGTTTCGAATCTGCGTCTGGCGAAACACGAATCGCAGGGAACCCGATCGGAAATTGCGTTAATCGGTGTACGGTGGTGTAGCTATGGCGACTCTGGTGAGCTCGGCCGGTGGGCTACTAGCGATGCTGAACGAGTCCCATCCTTCGCTCAAGCTCCACGCTTTGTCCAACCTCAACAACTTGGTCGACAACTTTTGGCCCGAGATCTCCACCAGCGTCCCCGTCATGTACTCTCTCTCTCTCTCACACACATTTATTTTCTTATTTTTTTTCTGCATGCTTGTGATTTAGGGTTAGTGTTTTGGCTTTGTTCTGAGAAGAATTGTTTGAATTTTTGTGTGTGTGTGTGTGTGTTTATTTTGGAGTATTGAGTAGTTGAAAGGACGTGTGAACTCGAATAATTTGTTTTGTTTTCGATTGTGTGTGTGTGTGTGTGTTTATTTTGGAGTATTGAGTAGTTGAAAGGACGTGTGAACTCGAATAATTTGTTTTGTTTTCGATTTTGTGCGAATGGGATAAGGATTTCAATTCTTAGTGCCAGTTATGAAATTAGGATTATTTTAATGAGAACGGAATTGGATTTATGTGTTGGATTGCAATTGTTTTGTGGGTGGTGGTGGAAGAGTGAGCGTTGTGTAGGATGGAGTAATTGAGATCATGGTTTAGGCAGAGTAGGCTATGGAAGCAGATAATGGGGTTTCCATTGTCTTCAATTCGGCGTTGGGCAGTTGAATTGTACTTTTAAGGCAGTGTTGAGAAATTAGACTTTGGATTGATACTATGACGGAGATGGAGAAATGCAACTAAGTTTTTCTGCGTTATTTTCGAAAACTTTGATTTTCCAGATACTTAAGAGGAACTGAGAAAGAATATTTCTTGCTCCTTGTTGCCAGTGTCCAGGTCAGTGCCCCTGGCAGTGGCAGGGTTTTCCTTATTTGATTCTTTCTCCCTCCATAATCTTGATCAGTCAATGGTTCCTGGAATTTTTTTTGGAGGCATTGAGATATTATTGGAATAATCAGACTAGGTTCATGAATAATAATATATGAGCCAACAAAATACTTATAAAGATGTCTTATTGTTTCTCAGAGAAAGTTTGTATGAAGATGAAGAGTTTGATCAACATCAAAGACAACTGGCGGCATTGCTTGTATCAAAGGTAAAAACTGTGCAGCCTACCTTTTGGAATTAGTGTGGCAGTTCGAAGGTGATTTTTCAATCAATCAATTTGGTTGCAATTTTGCACACAAATAAGGTTGGGAAAAGTCTATTGGCAACCTGGGTCCTGTTGACTGAATTTTGTAAGGTTGCATTTTTTTTCCTTCGAACAGCCAAGAAATTCTTGAAAAACATCAATGAATTCGTAATACTAAGTATTTGCATGCAATCTGACTGGTTAAATTTGAAGTTTGTGTGTCTCTTTTTCATTTGTGGGTGCAAAATTTCCTATTTTCTTCTGGAATGTAAGCTTAACTACTTCAATCTTTTGTTTGCATGATCTTTTTCCTCACTCCAGGTTTTCTATTATTTGGGTGAACTTAATGATTCACTCTCCTATGCCCTTGGAGCTAGTTCGTTATTTGACGTGTCAGAGGATTCTGATTATGTCCATACTCTTCTAGGTAAGCATATTTTTGTAAGTATGGTACTTTAAGGTATTAAAACTGACTTCACTTTGTAAGCGAGGACTGTGATAAGTAGAATCTACAATGTACTTTGAGGGTTAGAAAACTGTGAAAGGACAATGCAAGCAGGTTTAAGATATCTCAAACTAGATAATCAACTTTGCTTTGTGATCTAGTAGAACATCATCTCTAATTTAGTATTGTTAGAAGTGGATTTGTATGGAATTTTGAGGATACACAACCACAATTTATTTACATGACATATTTGGGTGTTTGCTTCTCCTCAGCTAAAGCTATAGACGAATATGCCAGTCTTAAGTCTAAGGCAGCAGAATCAAGTACTGAAGCAGCAAATGTGGATGCTAGATTGGAGGCAATTGTAGAGAGAATGCTGAATAAGTATGCAGGCCTCTACTGTCTTTAAATACAGTACTTCAGTACCTTTGGTTTTCTTACCTGTTTTCCCCTTTAGGTGTATCATGGATGGAAAGTACCACCAGGCTATGGGGATTGCAATTGAATGCCGAAGATTGGATATACTTGAGGAAGCAATCACAAAAAGTGATAATGTGCATGGAACTTTGTCATATTGCATAAATGTCTCTCATTCCTTTGTTAATCTTAGAGAATATAGATGTGAGGTAAGATGATACCTTATTGGCTTGTAACTTTTAGATACATTTGATTCTTTTGATAACATGAAAATGTGTGACTTCAGTATCTCCTTTTTTGGCTAACATTTTGTTAAACACGTTGATATAAGGATAGTAGAAGCATTTACCTTTTGTTGATTCTTGAGGCTATATATGTCTATAACATGGAAGATTTGTTTAAACTGGAAAGTATCATCTCTATGTATAACGGGAGAAGGGTAATTTGGTGAAATATTCATAATACCAAAAGATCAGGCATTCACAAAATGAGCATTTAATTATCAAGGACAAAATAGTATTCATATAACATTTGAATTGAAAAAATTTTGAATTAAAATTTTAAAATAAGTTACACACTCCACACATTGTGGGTGGTTACTGACTTTTTTGAATTCTTTTATATTTGTCTAATTCTTTTAAATTACACAAATTATAAGTTTAAACTTTTTTGTTCAAATAAAAATTAAGTTATAAAAAAGCTAATTGCCAAGCGGCTTGTGTCTTATTATATTGTTCTCCTTAAAAGTTTATGTATTTTTTATTCTCTTGAGAAGTTCACAGAAATGCAGTGTTTAAAGAAAAGATGTATGATACATGTATAACAAAGGTGTGCATGGATAGGAAAGTAATGCAGTGTTTAAAGAAAAGATGTATGATACATGTATAACAAAGGTGTGCATGGATAGTACAGTACATTGCATAGCTTTAACATGTGTTTGCACGTTCAGATGTAGTTTAGATTTCTGTTCCATAATAATTTTGTATTCATATAATATTACGTTTAAATAATGTGGAGTTAATTAAAGTAGGAGAAAATCATTTAGAGCTCTAGCGGTTCTGATGATGGTGTTCTGGATGTTCCAGTGGATATTGAGGACTAGAGTTTTGAGTGAAAGAAAAGCCTTATTTGGTAATTACAAACAATTTCGTAGTACACCTGGAAGACAAATTTTAATTCCTTTTTGGACTTTCTTTGTTGATATATGAATGTTGGGTTACTTATTTGCCAAGGTTTTGGGAAATGTGTTCCAACACTCAGTTGGAGGTGTTTTGATGGGTACACATATGCAAGATGGGACGGATTACATGGTTCTTACGTAGGAAAGCTGGGTTATAAATCTTAGAGGTGTTCTCTTCTTTCTTCTTTCCTCTGTATGCCAGGTTACATGCTCTGAAGTTAAATCTTGATGTTAGAGAAAGACGGGGATTTAACTGGTTTGGAACCAAAACCAAAGGCTTTTAGATGATTTGATAGGAAATTGTCTGTTGTGTCTTTTTTTTTTTTGGTGGCCTGTTGATGTCTCATTTTCTTTATTATGCTTCCTCAAGTGTCATGTTTGATTATTTCTCACACTTTGAGAGAAGGGACTCTGTAGTCTTGCACAATACATGCATGTTATAGCTTGAGTAGTGATGTTGAGACGTCTAGGTCAAAAACCTCTGGCAAGAAACACTTGTTATTTAGTTATATAAATTCAAAGGATTCTATTTCTTTTCCTAATCTCATTGGAGTCTCTGATACAACACTGTTAACGCTCTAATTTTCATGATTATCTGATGATCCTATCTCTTCATTATGGCCAATTTTCATGTTTGACAAAAGGTTCATTTATATACATTAATTAGATTGTAGTGGCTATAGTTTAGTGGTAAAAATGTGATTTGTTGATTTGTTCTATAATCCTTTGATAGAGAAAAGCACCCAATCCTTTACCCCTCAATGCTTTCTGCTATGTTGATTATTTGAATCAAGTCATGCATTTACAGATGATTGGTTATTTGAATCAAGTCATGCATTTACAAGTGTTATTCTGGAGTGTGAGACTTTTTTTTCTCCTTTGATTCTTTGTGACAGGTACTTCGTCTTCTGGTAAATGTGTATCAGAAACTGCCTTCTCCAGATTACTTGAGCATTTGTCAGTGTCTCATGTTCTTAGATGAACCTGAAGGTGTTGCAAGCATATTGGAAAAGCTTCTGCGTTCTGAAAACAAGGACGATGCGCTCTTGGCATATCAAGTAGCCTTTGATCTCATAGAGAATGAACACCAAGCTTTTCTCTTAAGTGTGAGAAATCGCCTCTCACCTCCCAAGCCTCAGCCATCAGAAGCTGCGCAGCCAGAAGCCAGTGAAGCTGCAACAAATGAAAGTTCTGCTCCTGAGGATGTTCAAATGACAGATGGAGGTTCTACTTCTAATGTGAGTGTGCTTGAAGATCCAAAAGAAGTGATCTATTCTGAGAGGCTAACAAAAATTAAAGGAATTTTGTCTGGCGAGATGTCAATACAGTTGACTCTACAATTTTTGTACAGTCATAACAAGTGAGGCTTCTGTTTTCTTCCCTATTGTTTTTTAATGCAATCATCAGAACTTCTGTTTCTTCTGAATTGAGTGGTGGAAAAGTGTTTTGAGTGTTTTGAAATTTGCATATAGGTCTGATCTTCTTATTCTGAAGACAATAAAGCAGTCTGTTGAGATGAGAAATAGTGTATGCCATAGTGCAACCATTTATGCTAATGCAATTATGCATGCTGGAACGACTGTGGACACATTTCTTAGGGAGAATCTGGTAAAGCACATCTCTTAAGTTTTTCATTTGACCACCGTCTCCATTGGCATATTTCTTTGTTATTAATATTGACAACAACAATTTAAATTGTCAGGACTGGTTGAGCAGAGCCACAAATTGGGCAAAATTCAGTGCGACAGCAGGGTTAGGTGTTATTCACAGAGGCCACTTGCAGCAAGGAAGATCTCTGATGGCACCTTACTTGCCTCAGGGTGGTGCTGGTGGTGGCGGCGGCAGTCCGTACTCAGAAGGCGGTGCTCTGTATGCTTTGGGTCTTATTCATGCCAACCATGGCGGGGGCATCAAAGAATTCCTCCGTGATAGCCTACGTAGTACCAATGTAGAGGTGTGTACTTTGTAAATCAGTGATGATACCTTTTTTTGCATATTTGGTATATTGCCAAATTTTTCTAATGGGAGATCTATTGACGCAGGTTATTCAACATGGTGCATGCTTAGGTCTTGGCTTATCAGCTTTAGGAACTGCTGACGAAGAGATCTATGATGACATTAAAAATGTGCTGTATACTGACAGTGCTGTTGCGGGTGAAGCTGCTGGGATTAGTATAGGTTTGCTTATGGTTGGAACTGCAAGTGAGAAGGCTAGTGAGATGCTTGTTTATGCACATGAGACACAACATGAAAAGATCATCAGGTATAGAGAATTGCTTTATCTTTTTATTGTTGCCTCTCGGCATTCTTTTACTTATAACTATACTATTTTATCAAGCAAAGCATGATAATTTGTGATCTGTGGTAGGTATAATACGCTTAAGGTCTTTGCTAACTGTATAGTGTGTTACAGGGGGTTAGCATTGGGAATTGCCTTGACAGTATATGGAAGAGAAGAAGAAGCAGACACGCTAATTGAGCAGATGACAAGGGATCAAGATCCTATACTACGTTATGGTGGTATGTATGCTTTGGCATTGGCCTACAGTGGGACAGCAAACAACAAAGCCATTCGTCAGCTGCTGCATTTTGCTGTGTCTGATGTGAGTGATGATGTTAGGAGGACTGCTGTTCTAGCACTTGGGTTTGTGTTGTACTCTGAGCCAGAGCAGGTTGGTACTTTCTTATTTGTCCATTGCTATGCTCTGTCCAAATCAATTTGATGCTGCTGCCCTATTTAATTTTATTTTTTGTTTGCTTATGATGCCTTTGTATCTCCAAAATTGCACAAACTGCAGACGCCGAGAATTGTCTCCCTGCTATCTGAGTCTTACAACCCGCATGTTCGTTATGGTGCTGCTCTTGCAGTAGGCATTTCCTGTGCTGGTACTGGCTTGAGTGAGGCCATATCTTTGCTAGAGCCTCTGACTTCAGATGTTGTTGATTTTGTGCGCCAAGGTGCTCTCATTGCAATGGCTATGGTCATGGTCCAGATAAGTGAAGCCAGTGATTCTCGTGTAGGAGTTTTCAGGTACTGTTATTGTATTTTTCCAACTCTCTCTCTCTCTCTCTCTCTCTCTAAACACACATCTCATGCAAGCCAATGATCTTAACTGTATTTCTTAGGTTTTCTTTTCAAGGATCAACCATAGGAAAAACTAACCAATTTGAAAATCGTTAGGATCTATCTAGACAAAATAAATAGCAACCATAATGTGCTGCAATGCTCACAATGATAATGAAATGGTGAAATGGTTTCCGATTTTGCTGAATTTTGCAATTTTATGGATAATTTTTAAGTGGGTTACCGTCCCTTTCTACCGTGTATACATATACCAAACAAGCACACACATCGGGAGCTTTGAAGGAGGGATTTAGCTTTGCAGAAAAAGGGGGATCGCTTGTGGGGCTTACCCTTCATTATAGTTCAGTGTTCTGAACCATCCTTCTATTGAGTGCCCATTCAAAGATCTCTATGGCAAAAGTTTATCTGAATTGGAAGTTGTTAACCATTTAATCCTTGGAAAGACTGATTGTATCTTTATGTATATGTCTATCCATAGGGGTGGCTTCATATGAGGGATTCCTTTTATGAGCAATTTCTAGGGATAACGTTGTGGGATCCAGCCACAATGCGGTCTAATGATTAGAACCGTTTACTTTTTAGGTTTCCATCCAATATCATCTTTACTAAAAGTCGGCCAAATTGAAAGTCATTAAGTTATCTAACTGTGATCAAATAAATAGATGAATTTTTGTGAGAAACATTGAAATCATTGTGCGATGATACTTTTGATGGAGACCTAGAAAATGGACTGTTCAGAACATTGGACTGTAACATTGGTTGAGTCCACAGCATGGAGTCATATACAGATAAAATATAGTTATCATTTACTTCCAATGATGTCCGAAATTTAGAAAATCAAGTTAACTTGTTTTATTTTTCGTTCTGTTTTTTAACTATAGGCGGCAATTGGAGAAAATTATTCTTGATAAGCATGAGGACACCATGAGCAAAATGGGAGCAATCTTGGCCTCTGGAATTCTCGATGCTGGTGGAAGGAACGTGACCATAAGATTACTTTCTAAGACAAAACATGATAAGATCACCGCAGTTGTCGGCCTTGCTGTTTTCAGCCAGTATTGGTATTGGTATCCCCTCATTTATTTCATAAGCTTGGCATTCTCACCAACAGCTTTGATAGGACTGAACTCTGACCTGAAAGTGCCGAAGTTTGAGTTCATGTCACATGCAAAACCTTCGCTGTTTGAATATCCTAAACCGACCACTGTGCCAACTGCCACATCGGCTGTAAAACTCCCCACTGCTGTATTGTCAACGTCAGCAAAGGCCAGCAAAGCTAAGGCCAAGAAAGAAGCAGACCAGAAGGCAAATGCTGGAAAATTATCCGGGGTGGAGGCTTCATCTTCCAGAGCAAATACTGAGAAAGGAAAATCAAGTGAGAAGGGTGGGGATTCAATGCAGGTAAGTCCTGTCTCACCCCTTCCTCTTATGCAATTTCAGAAAGTTCAATGTTTACGGTTTATGTTTCTTCCGAAAGTTGCTCGGTTTATGTTCCATAATCATCAAGTTGTCTTATCTATACACAGTACACACAAACAGTGGTTACTATTGGAAGAAAAAGGAACTATGATTAGATCCACGCACTTTACGTCTTTTAGTTTCTGATCCATCCTTTTGCCAGGTTGATGGCCAAGCGGAAAAGAAATCAGAGCCTGAGCCTTCTTTTGAGATATTAACGAACCCTGCTAGGGTGGTTCCTTCTCAGGAGAAATATGTCAAATTTCTGGAAGAAAGTAGATACGTGCCAATTAAGTTAGCACCTTCGGGATTTGTTCTCTTGAAAGACCTGCGACCTACTGACCCCGAGGTGCTTTCACTTACCGACACTCCGTCTTCTACAGCATCTGCAGCTGGTGGTGTATCAGCAACCGGACAGCAGGATTCTGCATCGACCATGGCTGTTGATGAGGAACCTCACCCACCTCAGCCTTTTGAATACACTTCTAATCAATGAAAGAGGCAAAAAGCGTGTTATATACAAGGTTGAGTCGAGTATTTTCCCCTCTTGGTGCTAAGGGAAGACTTTGATGCAAAACCAAGCACAATGGTGTTGTAGTACTGTGACCAAATGTTAGATGTGGCACTCGCTTTCTTTCTCTTTGCTCTACGGAGTCTTAAACTATTAAAGGGTTTCACTTTGCACCCATCTATTTAGGGTCAGTAACGTTTTGGTCCTTGACTTTTATAATTTCTCATTTTACTGCCATTGAGTTATGAGTTCGTACACTTTTGGCCTCTCTGAAGTTTAAACATTAATTTTACTTTTCCGACTTAGCACTCTGTTGGTTTATTTTTATATGAACAATTAAGAATTTTTCGTAATGAAAATTATACCCTTGTAGATATATATAGAAATGAATTTTGTTGTGTGACATCAATCCGGTGTTCGTTTAAGCAAAAAGTACGTCCCTTGAAGTGTCATGTAGGATAGCAGAAGTGTCGATTTTTAAGAGACAAGGGCTAAATAGCTAGATATGCACTTCCAAATTGTGAAAGTGTCAATTTATGACGTCATATATCGATTTTTTGTCTCGAGCGTTTGTTGTGCCTCTAAACTTTAACGAGAAAGCCTAATAAATTTTGCCCCAAAACTACTTGTGAAGAGGGTTGTAGGGAGTTGAAAAGGTCCGTAATAAACCATAAATGCAAGTAATGTGACTTGGGCATGGCTATTTTGGAGGAAAAATTTATCGACATTAGCGTGAGATAAGAAAAATGGATAATTTTAAAAAAATTAAAATACAAGTTGCTTAAAATTTTATTTTATATATGTATTTTCAAGAAACTTTTTTCCTTTTTTTATTTGACGCCCACTTAATAGAGAAATATTAGATAGTACACATTCTGAATATAACATCTAAATTATCTCAAGTAGAATCTAATTACAATGTGGATTCTATCTTTATTAGAACGATAGATACTGTTTACATTTTGTAAATCACGTCTCAACCATTTCAAGTAGAATCTAATTGTATTGTGGACTCTTTATCTTTATTTATTTCTTTTTCAAAAAAAAAAAAAAAAAAAAACCCTGCTGATGACTTAATCACAGCAGTCCACACTTCCAGAAGCCGGAGAACTTGCATTTTCAACTTTTCTCTGACTACCAACGTGTGATTCACTAAAGCTAGGAATTAGAATGTGTGAGGGACACCAATGGAAAGTGAGAAAGTCAAATGAGATTCACATAGGGCCGACCCACTTAATGAGACAAGGCATTGTTGTGGTTGTACCGTGAAATGTTAGATTTGGCACTTTTTCTCTCTTTGCTCAACGGGCTCTTAAAATATTAAACAGTTTCACTTTGCACCCATGTATTTAGGGTCAGTAACATTTTGGTCCTTGAATTTTATAATTTGATATTTTACTACCATTGAGTTATGAGTTCCTACACTTTTGGCCCCTCTTAAGTTTAAATATTAATTTTATTTTTCCGACTGCACTCGGATGGTTTTTTTTTTTTTTTTTTTTTTTTTTTGCTCGCAATAATCATGAATGACAAATGTATTAACAAATTTTATATGAACAAATAAGAATATTTCTTAATGAAAATTATACCCTTCTAGATATTTATAGAAATGAATTTTGTCGTTTGGCATCAATCTGTTGTTCATGTAAGCAAAAAGTACGTCATTTAAGTGTCATGTAGGATAGTAAAAGTGTTCAATTAAGTCATGATGATTTATGACATCATCTATCGATCTTTTGTCTCAAGCTTTTGTTGTCTCTCACCTTTAACGAGAAAGCCTAATAAATTTTTCCCCAAAACAACTTGAGAAGAGGGTTGTAGGGAGCTGAAAAGGCCTGTAATAAACCATAAATGCAAGTAATGTGACTTGAGCATGGTTATTTTGGATGAAAAATTTATCGACATTAGTGTGAGATAAGAAAAATGGATAATTAAAAAAAAATTAAAATACAAGTTGTTAAAATTTTATTTTATATATGTTTTTTCAAGAAACTTCTTTATTTTTTTATTTGACATCCAGTTAATAGAGAAATGCCAGATAGTACACATTCTTTATATGACGTCTAAATTATCTCAAGTAGAATCTAATTATATTGTAGATTCTATCTTGATTAGAAAGATATGTTGTGGTCTATTTTATCTGACAAGGTTAAAGGGGCCCGGCGGTAGAGGAAGAGAGATTGAGAGAGATGTGTTTGTAGAATTGTAGGGGAATGTGTGTTGTTATCCTTCCTACATTGTGCCTTTATTTATAGTAGTAAAAGAGAGAAGATATTCCTTCTTCCTCAAGTAATACAAGTTGTAATAGGAAAGGATAACTAGAATCAAATCTAATATATGATTTGCACAATCACACTTAAACTAGGAATGTTTACAACACTCCCCCTTGAGTGTGTAAATACTCAAGGTAGATTTAGCATCATGCAGAAGTTGAGGAAGTTGACTCGTCGGCACTGATTATAAAGAACAACGCTTATTCTCAATAAGGTAGGAACTTGCATAAGCAAATGAGTCTCACTAAAAAACCCTAAGGCTATGGCAAAAACCCGAGTAGGGACAAAATCCATAGTCTAAGGAAAAATGCATGAGAAATGCAAAGTCAAAAGAAACATCTATGAGACGTCATCAGGGATATGACCAACCCAAGGTGGATGCCTCGTTAAAACCTAGTTAGGTAGTAAAAACCCAGTGGGAAAAATGCTCCTAATCGTAGGAAAAAAAGTACATTAAGATCAAGTAAATATCTTCAGGATACTCCCCCTGATTTTGACACAATTCCAAAGAGAAATAGCAAAGTTACAACTCAAAAAGTTTACGCATACCAATTCCATGAACAAGATTCTGAAACGTCGTCTTCGTAGTGATTTGATGAAGAGGTCGGCCAAATTGTCTTGTGAATGGATTTGCGTGACTTCAGTCTTCTGATGCTCTTGTTGTTAATGTGAAAAGTAGAACTGTGGCGCAATATGCTTAGTGTTGTCTCCTTTGATGTAACCCTTCTTGAGTTGTTCAATGCATGTTGCGTTGTCTTCAAAGATCATCGTCGGGACATCAACAACGAGATAAAGATCGCAGGAGCTTTAAACATGATCCACTACTGCTCTCAACCAAAAACATTCTCGAGTTGCTTCATGTAAGGCGTGAATTTCAGCATCGTTAGACGAAGTGGCAACTAAGGTCTGTTTAGTTGACCTCCAAGAGATTGCGATGCCTCTAACGGTAAAGACATAACCCGTTTAAGAATGCGCCTTGTGCGGATCAGACAAGTATTCTGCATCGGTATAACCAACAAGGGTGCGGCATCACTCGAGGATCCGTAGGGATAGAACAAGCCTAAATCCATAGTACCCTTAAGGTAACAGAAGATGTCGTTCATGCCAGTCCAATGTCTGCGTGTTAGTGCATTACTATATCTTGCCAAAAGATTAACAGTGAAGGAGATGTCGGGTCTAGTGCATTGAGCCAAGTACAATAAAACGCCTATTGCACTTAGATAAAGAACTTCAGGCTCCAAAATCTCTTCATTATCCTCATTCAGACGGAAGGGATCTCATTTTGCATCTAGCGATCGAACGACCATAGGAGTACTCGAATGCTTTGTTTTATCTTCATTAAAACGTTGCAACACCTTATGGGTATAGTTCGATTGATGTCCTAGGATTCCATACGAACAATGCTCTATCTTGAAACTGAGACAATATTAAGTCTTACTTAGATCTTTCATCTCAAATTCCGACTTCAGGTGCGCGGCAATTCTCGCAAACTCTTCAGGAGTTCCGATAAGGTTCATGTCATCGACATATACTGCAACAATCGCAAAACCGGAATGTGACTTCTTAATGAACACACAAGGGCACAGTTCGTTGTTCACATATCCTTGACTAGTTAAATACTCACTCAGATGGTTATATCACATTCATCCACATTGTTTCAAACCGTAGAGTGAATGCCTCAGCCGAATTGAGAGCGTGTTCCAGGGTTTGGAAATATTTGAACCAGTCAATGTAAGTCATTTAGGAACTTTCATATAAACTTTCGTATCAAGATCCCCATAGAGATACGCGGTTACTATGTCCATTAGCTGCATATCCAGTTTTTCGGAAACTACCAAACTGATAAGGTAACGAAAACTAATCACATCCATAACGGGTGAGTAAGTTTCATCATAGTCAATCCCGGGGCGTTGTGAGAAGCCTTGTGCAACAAGACGAGCTTTGTAATGCACAATTTCATGCTTCTCATTATGCTTTTGAACGAAAACCCACTTGTAGCAAACGGACTTCACATGTAGAGGAGTAAGAGCTACAAGTCCAAACACCTTACGTTTCGCAAGCGAATTGAGTTCAAATTGGATTGCTTGTTTCCAATCTGACCAATCAATTCTACATCGACATTCATCAACGGAACGTGGTTCAATGTCATCGCTTAACATGATCTTAGTAACTACTGCAAATGCTAATGCATCATCGACAATCCTCTCATTTCTACGCTACACATCATCTAAGCTAGCATAATAGACCTAAATCTCATGATTCTCAAGAGGAAGATTCGTCTCGTCAAGGACGCTTTTGTAATCTAGAAATTCCTCATTAGTTGGATAGAATGAGTAAGTGATAATCGGATTCATGATAAGCTTTTCAGGACCTTGTGCCGTCGATTTCCTCTTCAAGGGGTGTGAATCATTTAAATCAAGAGGTTTGGCACACTTTTGTGTAGGGGCAGATGATTGGCTAGCAGTTAATATATGTGGATCACCAATGTTGGTGTCCTAGGATTCCAGGAGGGAAGTCTGTTGTACATTTGGTACATCCATCTTTGCACGCATATTCTTAGCTGGAATATGTGATCTTGTCACGCACGCTAGATCAGCAAAAACATCTGGCATGCTCTGAGCTAGAGATCTAATATGCGTTGTACTTCAGTTTCAGACTAAGCGATGCTGGGATCTAAATGAGACAAAGTGGGAGTCGTCCACGATAATTTACGTCATTCTTCGGGAACTTTGACGTTCTTATCTCCCACTAACGACAGGAAAACTGTCTCATAGAAGTGACAATCCGCGACATGAGTGGTAAACAGATTGCCTGTCAAAGGTTCTAAGTAACGAATAATCGAATGAGAATCATATCTAACATAAATTCCTATCATTCCCTGAGGCCCTATTTTGTATGTAAGGGTGGCAAGATCGGTACATATACCGCACAACCAAATATGCACAGATGCGATATGTCGGGTTCGTATCCGGTAACTAACTAAAGGGCACTAAATGGTTGTGTTGCAACAGACCTCAGGCGGACCAACTTTGTTGCGTGCAATATTGCATGGCCTCAAGCAGCGATCGGGAGCTTGGTACGTATAACCAACGGTCGAGCAATCATTTGTAAGTGCTTAATGAAAGCCTCTGACAGGCCGTTCTGGGTGTGAACATGAGGCACAAGATTTTCAACTTCAACCCCAATCGACATGCAATAGTCATCAAAAGTTTTAGATGTGAATTCACCAGCATTATCTAATTGAATAGATTTAATCGGATAATTAGCATGGTGAGCCCTGAGCTTGATAACCTGAGCCAAAAATTTGGAGAATGCAATGTTCTTTATGGACAACTAGCACACGTATGACTAACGTGTGGAAGTGTCAACCAAAACCATAAAGTATCTAAATGGTCCGCAGAGATGGTGAATCGATCCACAAATGTCCCCCTGAATCCGTTATAGAAAAATGGGAGGATTCGAACGAATATTGTTATGAAAAGGCTTAGTAATAAGCTTTCCCATTGAACATGTTTGACATGCGATTCTTTGGATCAAAGCTAAACTTCGGGTTAGTGGATGCCCATGTGAAGATTTGAGGATACGACGTATTGCTATTCGTTTATGATATCCCAAACGATCATGCCAAAGTGTAATTTCGTGTGCGATCCCTGTAGTAGAGTTGGCCATATAGTGGCATTCAATGGGGCATATGGTCGTAGTATATAGGCCGCTTGGGATACGCTTCATCTTCTCTAGAATACGCTTCTGGCCATATTCATAGGAATTTATGCACAGAAATTCAACTCCGTTTTCTACGTGGGTTTTAACGTGGTAATTGTTATCTCTAATGTCCTTGAAACTTAACAACGTTCCTCAGAAATGGTCAAGATTGTACCATTGGACAACATTATACATGCCTTACCGTATCCTTCAATCAGGATGGATGGGCCTGATAGGGGTTGTCAGAGGTGCATTCTTAGGTATGAAGTTAGTGAAATAGATGTGTTCACATAAAACTGTGTGTGTGGTTGCACTATCTGCCTGACAACTAACTTTCCCATTAGTCATACCTAGAATGAAAAATTAATTTGAATCGGTCACATGCATAAAAGTTAGTAAAAACAAATATCAATTCAAAATAATTTCATTTATTCAAGTATGGTAATTAATCAAAACTTAATATCCAAAAACAAATCACCAACAAATAATCCAAACATAAAGGAAAATTGTTCAAAAATCAACCAAAAACAAAGGGTGGGTTTGGCCATTAGGTGGAATTCGGCCCTATTGTCTTATTTCAACTAAAAAAAATAAGTCTATGTCTAAGATTCTAATGTTCCTATCCTCCTAAAATTCAGAAACCTCTATCTTTGTAGTCTCCGATTCGTCCACTTGCACGAAGTTTGATTCAAACTTCTTACAACGAGAATGATATTCATCTACAACCTTCTTGGGAGGTCAGCAAACATGGGACCAATGGTCCTTTGAACCATAGCGATATCACATATCCGCATCCATGGTTTCAGGTGCTTTACCTTTATTCTTGAAGTTCGGTGCATTGGGAGCGAGGTTTGGGCGCTTCTGTACTTTGTTTCCTCCCTTTGATGGGCCTTGACTCTGTTGACCTTGGTGGGAAAGCTTCTGGCCGTCCCTACCACGCGTCATTTGGTGTTTTGGGCTTTCGTTTGTGCTATAATGTGCTTTAGGCACAGCAGTTGCCCCAATAGGTTAAGCTTTCTGCTTTTCAGCGAGAAGTAAAATAGAGATCAAATCCGAGAACTTAGTAAACTTCTGAGCTCTATATTGTTGTTACAAGACAATATTAGAAGTAGAGAAGGTCAAATAGGTTTTCTCCAGGAGATCATTTTTTGTCAAAGTTTCGTTACAAAACTTGAGAAGTAATCGGATTCTAGAAACTTGATAATTGTATTCAATCACAGACTTAAAGTCTTGGAAGCGCAAATGTTGGCAGTCTTGTCTTGCTTCAAGCAAGAATATGTCCTTTTGGTGATCAAAATGATCAGCCAAAGCGACCCATAGTGCACGTGGATCCTTCTCATCAAGATATTCAGTTTGCAGAGCGTTATGAATATGTCTTTGGATGAAGATCATAACGGTGGCTTTTTCAGCTTTGCCAACAGGGTTGTCCATCTTTTCTTCAATAGTGGGACGCAAATTCTTTGCAGTGAGGTAAAGCTTCACATCTTGGACCCACTTGAGGTTGTTCCTTCCAAAGACCTCCAAAGCGGTGAAGCCGAGTTTTTTCAAATTCGACATGTTCCTATCACAAAATAATGGACAAGATGTGGTTAGTGTAATGGAGAAAAAATCAATCCATTCACATAGGAGTAGAACATACAGGTTCTAATAGACATATATTGGTTTATTTTTGCATGAAAAACTTTGGGTTTTCATGGGTGATGTTTTTAAATGAAAAACTGTAGGTTTTCAAACAAGGCATGTTTGTAAGAAACTTCAGGTTTCATAATAATTATGAACTTCAGGTTCATATATTTGTGTAGGCAAACACAAATATATACACAGAAATATGCAACAAGAATATGCAAAAATATAACTTTTAGGTTTACAATTATAATTGAATTTAATTATTTGGACTTCAAGCCAAATTAAAAGTATGGGTAAAAAAATATAAAACCCATTGGGCCTAAAATAATTAGGCGAATAAAGCTCGGGGCCCAAGAGAAAAAATAAGCCCACGAGTGGCTTAAAAAATTTGTGCCATGCATCCTAGGCCCTAGGTTGGGCTGGGTTTGGTCTCCGGGTAAGGCTACAAGCCCACGGGGAGAGCGAAAAACGGTGGGCCACTTCAGGCGAGCCTAAGGATTTTTCATTTATTTTTTTATTTTTTTTCACGGGCCGGAGGAATGGGCTGCAGCAGGTAAGCCCAAAAGCTTAAAAAAACTTCATACGGGCTGCTTCAGGCGAGCCCCAAAGGTTTGTGATGAAGGCCAAGAAGAGTTCGGGCCCAAACAGGGTTGTGGGTCACAAATCCCAGTCGTGCTGGGTGTGTTTTGCTGGGGAAGAAAGTCGGGTTTGGTCGACGGCGCCGCGTCAGGCGGTCGGCTTTGGGACAATAATGCTTGGGGCGAGTATGTGGGTCGTGAAGGACCTCAAATATGAACGAAGATTGAAAAAATCTCGACATTCGTTGTAAAACCCTAGGATTTCGAATCGGGTTTTCGGAAAGAAAAAAAAAAAAAAAAACCAATGGGATTCAATCGAATCTTGGTCATTTGATGTCGGGGACGAGCTTCGGGTTGTCAAACATGGTGACCCAAGGTGTGAGGATGGGTTGCAGGCCATCCTGTGATGGTAGAGACGCTGTGAAAGGCGTCGGGTTTCTAGGTTTCAACCTGGAGCCCGCGACTCCGTCTTAGGGGCTCGGTGTGGCCATCCAAGCTTCAGGCTTGGTTGAAGGCGCAAGGTCATAGGTTCGAAGAATCCAGACCGTGATTCCCAATTTCATTTTTTTTTTTTCAATTCAAATACAATTCTATTAGAGGCATATTCAAAATAATAATATGTTGATTTAAGTCAATGTGACGTATATACAAATATATTTGATTCAATTCATAGCAAATATCAAATTCAAATAATTTAATAATTATGAATATAATGCATACACAATTTATGTAGAATCTAAAATTCGAAAAACGTAAAGTTGGGTCATGCATTATGGTGAAAGTTCATGCTATTAGGACTGCAACAATATCGAGATAAAAATCGTTGTTTTGAAAGAACCAGATTGCGTGATGATATGGATGAACTAGTTTGATGCAGAAAAATTCTTCAACGTCAGATTCCTAAGCATAGCGGTAGGAGTGTGCTGATAACATGTTGTGGTCTATTTTATCAGACAAGGTTAAAGGGGGCCGGCGGTAGAGGAAGAGAGATTGAGAAATTATAGGGGAATGTGTGTTGTTATCCCTCCTACATTACCTTTATTTATAGTAGTATAAGAGAGAAGATATTCCTTCTTCCCAAGTAATACAAGTTGTAATAGGAAAATGATAACTAGAATAAAATCTAATATAAGATTTACTCAATCACACTTACATTATGAATGTTTACAACAAGACAGATATCGTTTACCTTTTGTAAATCACGTCTCAACAATTTCAAGTAGAATCTAATTGTATTGTAGATTCTTTATTTTTATTTATTTATTTTTAGTAAAATTAAGTGATAACTTAGTTACGACAGTATATTTTCAGAAGACGAAGGACTTACACGGGCCATTATTTGTGATTCACTGACCCTAGGAGTCAGAACTTGCAGGTGGAAACCAAATGGAAAGTGAGAAGTTGGATGAGGTTCACATGGCTCCCACATGTATAAAAATCCCCCCAACCCAACTCATGTGAATCGTGATGCCCCACTCCCATCCCCCACTTCGAAACCCAAAGCCGCTCACGCTCACCGTCGTTTCCGACAAATAAGCTATGAAGTCAATCTCCTCGATTACCAGACTTAAACGGCCACGATCTCTCCCTCTCCCTCCCCTTTCCCAATCCTTGCCACGCCCATAATCATGCTCGCCGCCGCATCATCCTCCACAACATGGCTCCGAGCTCACCGTATCCGCTACCTCTTCCTTCTCCTCTGCTCTCCGATTCTCATCCCTTTCCTCTGCGCCATCTTCCCTCTGCTCTGTGCCGCCGAGCTTTGCCTACACCTCTGCCGCCGCCGTATAAAGATTTCTCACGATGAGGCCGGGGAGGAGGAGGAGCAGATGCGCCGGTGCGAAGAAGGACGCAGCAGTGGAAGTGCGGCGGCGGCGGTGGGGAAGGAAGACATGAAAGAAGAGATGGGGCTGCTGCAGAGGTACTTGGAGGATCAGCTGCTGCTGGTTGGATCTGTGTATGATTGCAGGGACGATGATAGTGACGATCTGTATCACGAGATTCATGACTATGATAATGATTCCAACACTACTCCTCTTTTGGCTTGATTTATTGTTTTTTTTTCTTTTCATTTTTTGTTTTTGTTTTTGTACATTACACTCTTTTTGGTTGATTTTTGGTGAAATTTGTTCCTGAAGTTTTATGGGACTCCTTTCTACGAATTGTGAATACGATTTTCGCTTTGTGAAAGAGGATATTGGCAGATTTGAATTTGTTGGTAACCAAATTTTGGTAGTGCTACACAGCCACTTTTACTTATTAGTACGTATCTTCTTATTGTACATCTTTTTAATTTTCGGTCGTGAATCAAATGAAATTAATAGACAAAAATATAACAAGGTGCGGATAGATTAAAAAAAGAGGCTAAACTGCCAATTTGCCCCTTGAACTATCACTCAACTTTCAATATCTCCCTACCGTTAGTTTTTCATAGATTTTATCCAAATTAACGTTAACTCTTATCATGTACCCACCACTTAACTCTCCTTTGTGGACAAAAGCATTACTTCACTAGACCTTTAGACACAAAAGCTATAGAATCACACATATTTGCATAGGTTTATATTTTAGAAATCTAAGGTTTTCAATTATTTTAAAGAATGAAACGATCGAACTACCCACACTTGTTATGCACATGCTCGTTTAACAAAAATTTGGATGGAATGAATGAAAAATTAACAGCAAGGGTAAATCAGCCAAAAAACTTAGTTTAAGTCCTTAATTTTCCAATTAAAAAGTTCAGGAGGGAAATTGAAAGTTGGGTGATAGTTCAGGGGGCATATTGGCAGTTTACTCAAAAAAAGAAGAAGATGTGAATAACACAACTGTTAAATTTAAAGCCATTGGCCCATTGGCTGTTAGTACTATAGCGAATTTGAGCCATTGAGATTGAACCAATTTGTACGAACTTTATTGATACTTAGCCCACTCCTTCACTCCTGTAGTGCAGATAATATTGTTTATTAATATATATATATATATATATAAATTTAAGCCATTGAGATTAAACCAACTGGTACAAACTTGTATTCATCTTTGTGGAGCCAAAAAATAATCACAAGACGATACATGAATTTTTTGGTATAAGAGAACAAAAATACCCTTGAGGCATACCAGAATTCCTACGCGCAAGCAGCGGGCAATCATCACTCAACCAAGTCAAAAGTGCCCAACATAGGTAACTATTCAAAACATATTTCATCCATCCTCATCCAATCTTCTCCACAAAGTAAACTCCTAAATCTTCCCTTTTTTATTATATTGATTAGCTAATCAATTAGGTAATTATTCTATTAATTAGTTAATTGATTAGGTAATTATTCCATAACTCCCAATTTAACACAAATCAAGAACCTAGCCCACAAAAGGAGCTAGGTGGCCGGTCATTTCTCATCCAAGGAGGCCGGCCACTCTCCAATTTAAACCCTATCATTCTCCTCAAAGTTGACTTCCAATTCTCTTGCAAAAATACTACAAAATTCTCTAAACACTTTTCCCTCAAAATTCTAACTTCTTCGGCCAAAGCCCCTCCCCATTCATCATGGGTGCGTGAGGCTTTTGGCCTTAACCTTAGGTGTGATTTGTTTTGTAGGTGTAATTTTGTCTAAGATTAAGGCGGAAGAAATTTGTATCCACAATCTTCACTTGTAATTCAAAAGTGCAAGATGCTAAGAGTTAGTACAAAAGTACGACCGTTACCAACGCTACAAGCCAGTACCAGCACTGCCTGCCAGCAAGCTACACTTGCACACGAATCCTTGGTCGTTAATGCAATGGGCAATCGACCTGGTAGGACCTATGCTGCCTATTAGTAAGGGCAGAGGCATGATGATTGTGGCAACCGACTATTTCACCAAATAGGTAAAAGTAGAGCCCATGATCACCACGACTTAGACGGACATAAAGTGCTTCATATGGAGGAACATCATTCGTCGATTTGGCATCTCTCAGTCCATCATCATCGACAACGGCCCGCAATTCGTGGGCAAAGATTTGGCGAAGTTTTTCCAAAAGTATGGTATCAAGCAGCACATGTCCACACCGAGATATCTTGAAGGCAATGGGCAAGTCAAAGCATCCAACAAGACGATCCTTTTCTGCCTCAAGAAATCCCTCATCGACAAGAAGGGAAAATGGCTAGACGAACTCCTCAGATGTTTATGGGCATATCGCACCACCAAGAGACGAGCAATCGGTGAGACTCCTTTCTCTTTGGCATTTGGTTCGGAAGCAATCATTTCACCCAGCATCATCGTGCCAAGCATTAGCACACTACTGCTAAGTATTGAGAGCATAACAATAAGAGATGGCCACAAACTTAGATTTGGCAGAGAAGAAACGCGAGCATACTATCACTCGCATCGTAGCCTACCAGTAACAGCTCATCTCCAGCTACAACAAAAGGGCCAAGATCTGGCAGTTCCAGCCCGGAGATCTAGTCCTAAGAAAAGCCTTCATCACTGCCTGCAGAGAAGGCTCGAAAAAGATGGCTCCCATCTAGAAAGGTCCGTACAAGATCAGCAGAGTATGTGGAAGAGTAATTACACCCTCGCCACCATGAAACGGCAAAAAGATCAACAAACAATGGAGTGCCTACAATCTAAGGAAGTACCATGTGTGACTTCCCACTACATCAAAGCCTGAAGACTCAAGCAGCTCGACAGGGTACCACCTCACAAACCGAGGACTATCCAGTTGTTATGCAGTTCCTACCTTACAGTTAAGTTCTTGTTCGTTTCACTCGTTTTTCAATGAGGAATTCAGAAGTAATCACAACTTGGCTCGGCTACATACTTATAACAACTGATCACTCTTGCACTTCAAAAGAAAACTGCGCCCTTCTTAGGGACTCATCGCAAGAATTGCGCCCCCAAGCGACTAACCATGCTATCCAATGCGAGAGGGTAAACTAATTCCTCGACACTCACATGGGTCAGCTCTCCAAGACAAGAGGATAAACTCTATACTCTGAATATCCCGATGTGGATAAGCCTGGCTGCCTTAGTATAACTGGATGCACGATGGCTTACGCCGAGATTCCTAGAAGTAGCCACAATGGTCTTTTTCAAGGCTTAGCTAACTAAAGGATTTTAGGTCTCTTGGCCTAATCTACAGGGAACCGAGCCCTAGAGATGAATGGGGCACATTACGCAGTACACCTTACAAACGGCTGCCCTAGAACCCTAAAGCTGCTACTAAGTGCACTAAGGTAACCTACGATTTCCGAAAGACTGCATACAGTTCACCCTTCGAGCAGTAAAGCTTATACAACTGCACATTCTTGTGAAAGGTTAAATAAACTAGCGTGCATATAAGAAGCTTTATCCACTGCCGACATGCTACATAGTCGATAAGCTTCACCTCTACCAAGCGCGGAACAACCTAAACCAAGTCATAAAGTGTTGTGATGCTTGCTACACAACCTACGGAATTGGAGAAAGCCAAGGTTAACAGCCTAGTTGTTACGCGAACTTGTTTGCTTCTATAAGTAATGCATCCAACTGCCAACCCTATGGCTAACAACTTGGCAAATTTCTACATCAACATCTACTGACTGCATAGGCTACGCGGGCCTGTCTGCTTATAGAAAAGTAGCACAGTCTGCCACTAGTCTATAGAGTCTAAGGTTAAGGCATGAACAAAAAAAGCAAATATGAAGAAAGGTAAAGGAATCATGTTTATAAATAATTAGCAAAGGCCGAAAGAGTTCAAGCAAAACAAGAGTTACAAGGAAAAACAAAGATAATCCTGAAGGCTACCTAGAAGATTACACTTCAGCAGCTTGAACATCCCACGACTACTCGGTCGCCACACCTTTAGCAGCCACAACGTTCTTAGCAGCGGCATCATCCAGCGTTTCACCCCCGGCTGCCCCAGCCTAGGCACCAACTTTTCCAACTACTTCACCAATGGAAACCTCAAAAGTAAAAGCAAGCATGCCTTCCGGAGAAATAGAGAAAGCTCGATCCCATCATTCTCACCCTTCAGCTGCTCATTCTCTTCAAGCAGACCAACACAGGACGCTCTGCAGCTTATCCACTCCCTTTTTCAGACTTTCGTTGATCTTCTGTACACCTTGAAGTTCCAACACTTGGGGTTCAAGCCTATTGACGATTCTCTTGAAGTGGATCACTTGATTATAAGCAAAGATCAACTTTTCATCCTTTGCATAAGCAGCGAAACGAAGCTTAGAAACTGCAAACTTAAGATCTTGAATCTGAGGTATGTAACATGCAATCTCCTTCTCTGCACTTTCATACTTAACTTAGATTAGTGTCAAGCCTAGTCTTCAATTCAACGATTTCTTGGCGAGCGATCTCGAACTACAGAGAAATGGGGGCAGAAATATTAGACTCCTTCAAAGCAACGAGCTCAGAATCCAACCTCTTGATCTCCTCAGTTGAGGAATAAGCTTCAGCTGCCATAGTCTTCACCACCTCCTTGGCAGCCTTGCTATATCTGCATCATAGCAAGCATAGCAGTCCTTATATATTGGGTCGTATGCATCGCAAAGGAACTTGGGCAAACAACCTTTCTAACGCCATAAAAAAACTTGGCGCAAGCGTCCATGTCTTCAAGCAGATTTGGTTTCAAAAGCACACAGATCTTAGCAGCCTTCCTAGAAGTAGGCTTAGTGGATTTCTCATAGCTGTCTATGTGAGCAATCTCCTCATTCTTAACAAGCGAATCAGTCTCAACAGTAGAGGGAGTGGGCATTGGCGCCAATTTAGCAGCAAAGTCCACCTTATCGCTCTTCATAATAGCAAGTCTCTCCAAAGGTGAACCGGACTTAGCTCCCAACAGACGTCTTAGTACAGACTTCGGCATTGAGGGCATGACATGACCTTTACGTTGAGCAATCCTATCAACAATCGTACTAGCCATTCTCGACATGGCAGATGCCACATGCTCAGATCTAGCAGCCTTATTTTCTTCCCATTGGAAGAAGTCATGTCAATCACAGGCTTATAGGCAGCAGGCGAACCCTCACAAGCAGCGGATGAAGTCTTCAATTTTTCTCAACCGGCATCTCCCGAGTAAGCGGGGAAAATCTCTTATTTCCACCTTCATTTGTAGTAGGCTCCACGATAACATTTAGACTAGCCAATGCATTCACCTTGATCCTTTTTACCTCCTCTCTTGGGAACAGTCCACCTTTTTCCCTGCAAAGATGATTAAGCAACCAACAT